TGCTAAATGTGAACAGCCTGGAAGGATGCGTGATCTTAAAACTGATCAGTCTTTATTTTTATGTAATTGTGTAAATACTTGAGCCTTCCATACATGAAAACTTTGCGATAAAATGACAAAGTTGAAAATCTTTGTGAAACCTCCTCAGTACAAATATCACCAAAAAAAATAAATAAATAAAAAGCCACAGGACCATGCACAGATGTTTTTGGACTTATGGGATTATTTTAGATAAATAATGATGGTAGGTATTTTTTTGTTTATCATCAAGCCATCCTTAAGAAGTCCTTCAGGTTGCCCATCTGTGCACGTTCCTCGAGTGAACAAAGCAATACAACAACACACAATAAACCCTCCCAACCCAACAGGAAGGTCAGGGCAGGTATACCTGTAGCAGACACCAACTGTCCGGCCTCTCAGTCCCTACACACGTCAGGGACAATAATATGATCACACATATCACAACATAACTTCTAGTTTGTAAACTAAAAATCTACTTTTACTTTAGATTTATTTTAACTCTGAGTAACTACAATTTTAAACAAAGTAGGTCTGAGCTATAAGAACAGGTTCAAAAGACAACGTCACATTCTGTTTTTCATTATTACTTTTTATTATGAGGCTTTTTTCAGCTTTTTTTACAGTAAAAGTCAGGAGAGTTGTTTCAGGGTTTAAACACATGAATGAGCAGCAAAGTGAACTAACCTGCCACCAGTTTGCTCTTGCGTGAGGCCTCGGAGGCCAGCGCGTGCGACACGCTCATGATCCTCTCCTGCTGCTGCACGGCCGAGTCCAGCTCGCTGAAGTCCAGCGGTGCTGACGGCTGCATGTTCTGAACACTGAGGGAAAGAAATACAGCTAAGAAACAGAAAATGACCACAGTAGAAGACAAAAGTTTTCACCCCCTGGTGTTCTTTGTTTTGTTGCTTTGCTGAATTTCAAAGGAATTTAGAGATGAATGGGTGCTGCTTGCATTTAACCATCTTTAAAGGGATCCCCGATTAGTTGTAACATTAGACTTTATTTGATAAACATACACTTTAACTCCAAAATAAAGACTATAAAAATACTGTAAGATGTTCAGTTTTTATCATTTTTAAACTAAAAATTTAAAAATATATTACAGGGATGGGGCCATTTTATTTACATGCAAAGCATTCTGGGTAAATGATGACATCAACTAGGTCATCGGTGTGAGACTGTTAGCGAGCTATATCCACCCTGAAGGTTAATCTTGGACAATATCTGARGATCGACTCTTTTAAATGAAACCAGAGAGCGTTGACAGAGAGGAGAAGGTAGAAATGACTCAGCCTGTAAGTGAAAATATAGATGGAGGACAACAGAGCTGCTTCATGGAAGAAGAACCTCAGCTTAGCCTGTTAGTTTTAGCGTTAGCCCCGACGCTATCACCTTATATATGTATTATCTCAGCACTACACATTCTTCTCTCGCCACTGAGGTCCTCCATCCACATGACAGAGAGGGGAATGCAAAAATGACTCAGGCTGCAACTGAAAATATGGATGGAGGACCTCAGTTTAGCTTGTTTGTCGCACTAGCGCCGAGCTAATACATATAAGGCAATATAGCGTGGGCGCTAGCGCAAAGGCTAGCAGGCTAGGCTGAGGTTCTTCTTCCATGAAGCAGCTCTGTTGTCCTCCATCTATATTTTCAGTTATAGGCTGAGTCATTTCTACCTTCTCCTCTCTGTCAACGCTCTCTGGTTTCATTTAAAAGAGCCAATCATCAGATATTGTCCAAGATTAACCTTCAGGGTGGATATAGCTCCCCAACAGTCTCACACCGATGACCTAGTTGATGTCATCATTTACCCAGAATGCTTTGCGTGTAAATAAAATGGCCCCGTCCATGTTAAAATATATTTAAAAAAAAATTACAAAACTAAACAGCCTACAGTGTTTTTACAGTCTTTATTTTACAGTTAAAATACATGTTTATCAAATAAAGTTTAATGTTACAACTAATCGTGGATCTCTTTAAATTAAAACAAAGATTTTTAGTTGAACTGAGGACTGGGCTTCAAACATTTAACTGCTCCTCTTTAATCCAGTGGAGTGTTGCTTCAACTGTGTTTAGTGTCATTGTCCTGCTAAAGGGGAACCTCTGTCCTTGTCTCTAATCTCAACATGTTTCCTTCATTCATTTCTCTATATTTTATGTCATCCATTATTCCTCTAACTTCAGTTCTCCAATCCCTGCTGATAACGAGTATTCCCACATCATGGTGCTGCCACCACCGTGTTTCATCTTCAACCAGAGACAGACATCTTTAGCAGTTTGCGACCTCAACCTTTTCTTGAACAACTGAACTAATAAACAAACTGAAATAAATTATAGGTTGAAATAAAATAATCTACCCACTTTTGGCAGGTTTACTGTGGTAAAATGTTCTATGGGGGATTTTGTGAAGCTCTATGAGACATTTGGGGTTTAGATTTTTTTTTATCTCTCCACTCTCATCAGCTTTGTCTCTGGCCTGAGAGAAAACTTCCTTGGTCTTCATGATGTCTCATGCTTGGAGGGTAGCCCGTACTAGTTAGAAGTGTTGAAGTGGTGCATATTCTGTGGGCTATAAGAACAGGTGAATGGGTATTGACATTATCTGCAGGATTGCCCACTGCAGGTAATGATTGTAACTTCAAAGCAAAAAGACGTGGGGTTTATAGATGCACAAAGTTTGGTTGAAACATAAAGTTTCAAATTATTATGCAAATTGTATTTTTTTATGTTCCTAAATAGTCGATACAAATGACAGAATGAGTATAATTCAAATGATGTTAGAAATCTTCCTCGTGCCAAATCTTTTGCAGACGATGATTATTAGTTATTAGTCATTCAAGTATTTCATGCTTTTCAACATATATTTGTATATATAAACATTTGTTTAGAAGTATTGGGCCTCATGCAAGAACCGTTCGTACGCACAGATTTGTTCTTAAGTTGTGCGTACGAGTGATTTAGGAGAATTTGTGGCATTCACCAA